GGTCTCGCCCCGGGAGCGGGTGTCGAAGGCACCAGCCAGGTCCTCCTCGCGGCTCTGCCGGTCGCCCCAGGCGTCCTCGGACCTCGGCGCTCGGACATGGGGAAAGGTGTCAGGGCTTGAGGTCGCGCTCTGCAAATACCTGCGGGCTCCAGCCTGTGCGCCAGTGGCGGGGGGGGGGGGCGGGGGCGCATCCCTGGTTGTCTCCTGCACGGATAAAAGGTCTGAGGGGCGGGGGGAAATCCCTGAAAACCCGAGCCCCGAGTTTTGTGCAGTGTAGTGGTAACACTGGTAACACAAACGAAGTGAATCCCACCCCTCCTGCTGCATTTTCCCTCCTCTTCCTAGTGCTTTCATTTTGTTTAATAGCAATATTCCCGTGCACTGCACCGTGGAAGACAGTATGCCTCAGCACCATGTAGTTTTTCTGTTTCTTCCACTGCAGCTTGTCCAGATAAAAACTTAAGTTTTCTTTGAACGTGTCAGTTTGCACAGCTAAAATAAAAACAGCAAGCAATTAAAAAGCACTGGGCATGTGAAAAACACCAGTTCTGTTGAAACAACACACAGTTCTGTAATGCATGTATGACTGTATCCATACAGTTGTATATATACAGTTGTATAAAAATGATACAGTATCACCTAAGCTAACCCTAAATAAAATGGGATGAAGGGCAAAATATTTTTGTTTAGGCTGCTGTCTATTTGTGTTTTCTTATTTTAATCCTCAGCTCATAAACAAGAGCAGTACAATTGCAACTTTTTTCTGTATTTTGAAGCATATTACTTAAAATGCATTATATTTTAAACGGGTCATTTAAATTAACTGGTTATATCCCTTTAAATATAATTAGTAAAATATGAAGTATCATCTGACGAATATTTTAGGTTAATTATGTCACTGCTTTGATTCTTAAGTTAGACCCACTTGAAAGAAAACTCTAGTTAAAGGCACGGGTTCATTTGCATGGTCAGGATTATAGGATTAGCAAGGAATCCAGTAAGCATTACATATTTACACCTAAAGATTATACAAGAAATATTTTAAATACGTTTCTATTTAATGGGCCATTCACAAGATATTATCAATCATTTAATCCTTCTATTTCAATGCTTGTTAAATTCTTAGCATGCTTCATCAACAGTCTTGTCTTTAGAAATAAGCAAAGAAATTGAAATATTTTATGCAGAGCTTGCAGGCAAGTTACTTTTCCTTTCCTCTGATTCTCAAGTGTTTATAATTATTGTGCATGTGAAATTTCTGGGTGGCATCTAAAGGATTAACTCACATTTTATTCCTAAAGTGACATTTCTAGTTATTGCTAATAGACTGATACAATATGGAAATAGGAGCTATAAAAGATGAGTTGTATGTACGTATATTTATGTATATGTGGGAAGATATAAATAGATGTAAATATAGATCAGAAGTGTAAAATATTGAGTAAAATAACCTCTGAAGGGCGGAGTTCCCATTTAAACACTCTGTGGCTGGGGTAACAGGGGCAAAAATCCTTAGATTTGTATAAAATGACATTAACTAGATGTTCCCCTAGTAGAATCAATTTTACGATAAGGAGTATAAACAATGATGTTTTCGAGCTATGGTGGCATGCTGGAGGAGTGCAGGGGGCGGTGAGGGCTGGCCTGGGCACAGGCTGCACCCCACAGCACTGATGGCACCCCGCAGGGAGGTTCGCCGTGGCCACACTGCCGCACAGGTATCACCACAGCTGAGTGTCAGTGAAAGAGCTGGTGACAGGCCCAGTAATTGTGACCGCTGCTAGAATTGCCTTTTCATAAAAAACGGCCTCAACAAGCCCTAGTTTTAGGGCTAAACAAGATTCAGTTTATATTTTTCACTATAACACAGTAAAAAGACTTGCTGTACAATGAGTTAGTATTGATTTTATTTTTTTTTGTCTGTAGCTTCTTAGCTTTCTGACTCCATTATTTTTGATTTTACTATGAAATACATATCCTTTCTACTGACATCTGACAAACAACATATGGAAGTCGTTTTATCTACCAATAATGTGTTTGTCAAAAAAATCATACACTAATGGGTTGTGCTTCCTCCAGTCCATTTTCCCCAAGTCACTGATGTAATTCTAAACATCTAGCGATTTTTGCCCCTTAATAATTTGTCATTCCCGCAGGTTTGTGTAAGATTCATTTAAGATACTACAACAAGCTGGGAAGTGAGGGGAGGTTTTAAATCTACATTCATCTGCCTTTATTTGATACCTGGATTTAACACTGTGACTACCAGGTACACCTTACCATTCCCTTATTTACTTTCAGACCCAAGAGCTTGATGGATTGTGATTTTCTCTCCCTAGTAGGGCATTAGAATATTTGTTCTTATACTTCCTATGGGATCCTTAGGGGATCTTTTTTAGGAGAAGACTTCAGCAGCAAGGCAGCAGAACTTTTAAACGCATGCTTAATTGCAAGCGATTTTTTGTTCTTCTAAATTTCAAAAAATCAGGCCTCAGGAATTACTTATGCACTTTATATAGTGTGGCTCTTGTCCTAAGCCTCACCAACACTGAGGCTTCCACAAACCTTTCCAAGGGGTGTGTGGCTGGGCAGGCAAGGAACGTTAATCAGATCCATAGAGACCAAACTATATTCCCAAATAATTTTTAAGCAATGAGGCAGCTTCTTGTTTGCTGCTTGAAAGTTTTTTCTCTTCTTACATTTTGTCTGCCTTACCCATTTTACAAATGCATTCTGCTCACAGCAAAATCCATCCACTCCTCCCTGCTTCTGCGCCTCAACCAACTTGGACTGGCCCAAATATGCTGCATATAAAGCAAATGGTTTTCATACGTAAATGAGATGGAGATAAAGTGGTTAAAATTGTAAATGAAAGCCTGCAGTTAGCAGAATGAATTCAGGATTTGCTTGTCACTGCAGTTAGGCATAGAAGTAGGTAGGGAAGATGAACTGAGCAATGAATCTTAAGAAGCAGAAAATGAAACAGACAGTAAAGCAAATACTTTTGTGTCGGGTGGACTGTAATGTACTACCCAGGACTGAGAATAGAACAGGTTTGCAGTACAACCTGTTGGTAAAAAATGAGGTTGTTAATTTAGCATGTACAGGTCCGTTCCCAGATTATTTCTGAGCTGCTGTTAGTTTATTTGCTCATCTGAAGCTCCACTTACTTGTCATTACTAGACTGAAATGAGTTTTCAGTGGTTAGTCACTGCGAAAGGATGGAAGTTACATTTATTTTTTTCTTGTGTGAAATAGAAAGTATTTTGCAGTGCGTGAGTGTATCTAGATGAATTTGGATTTAGAATTTTGTATACAAGAAAAGAATTCGGTACTTCAGAGTTTCTGAGTAATTCTGCAACCTCTTTTGGTCTGCAAGCATTTTTCCTGAGTTTAAATTTGCTTTGCTTTGCTTTCTTTAGAACAAGAAATGTAATCTTTTATACATACATATGTATGTACTACCAATGTATAATTACAGTCACTCATTACTGTTTCATCCTAGGTTGCTTTTTGCTCATCATTTTAGCAATCTCCTTTTTGCTTTGTCACTTGAGACTGTGATTCTGTGACTCAGGCTCATGTCCTCAGTATCAGATTAGGCACCTGACAGCACCCCAGTTATATGTGTTTAATGTAGCTCATACCAAGGTTGGCAGGAGCTGCTCTTCTTTGCCATGAAGTCACTGGGAGCAGCATTCACTTTGACAAAAATAAAGACTCAGCCTGGGATTCAAAAACATCTTGTGGAATCTATGTGCACTGTAATACAATTCAGAAGCAATTTTGCTCATTTGGTTAAATGGCTGCAGTTCTGTCACCAGAGAATCATATCAGCACACAATATTTAGTGTTTATGTTAGGAATATTTTATTACCAGATTCTAAGACTTTTTTTTATACCTTATGATGTAACTCTTAACACCAGACTAATCATTTAACTTGTCATGAGAACACAGATGATGGCACATCTCTTGGAACAGCCACAGCTGGACCCAAGTTCACCTCCATACAAGCAGAAGTAGTTTTACTGCTCCCTATGGATGGAACTCCACTGAGTTGTCTGCACTGTCCCCAAGTCCTTAAGTTCTCCAGGAAATCCTCATGTCATAAATCTAGCAGTTATTCTGCAAGGACATCTCTAGCACATTCTTAAATTATCATCTTGAATGATACCATACATTGAACAAGAATGGCCAACTCACCGTTACTTTTACTGAAGGAGTTTTTCTTCTTAATAGAGTGTTTTAGGCTGCTTTAAAAGTTGGGGTTTTTTTATTTCTGGTATGTACTGTTGTAAAATACATTCGAGGCACGGCTTAGGCACAGCATTTATCATAGGCTTACACTAATGTATACTGACATTACACCTTCTCTTTGTAGACCAAGCCACCCTAGTAGAGCAAGTGAAACGAGCAAAAGAAATTGAAGCTATTGAAAGTGACTCCTTTGTTCCACAGACATTCAGATCAAGTAAAGAAGTCAAAAAGGTAAGTTTTCAATATCCTTTCTTGGTGCATAATTCTTTCAAAGTCAGGTGGAAGCTGCAGTATTAATACAGTTTCCATTGATGAAAGAGCGTCAATGTTGACAATCTTAAATCCAACCAACAACTCACCAATGTTCTTGGTGTGGCTTTCAAAGAACAAATTTAAATGTGCAAGAATTTCAGGGAAATCGACTGTTTTGACAGTATATTCTACATATGCTGAGCAACTCCAATTTTAAAGAATTCTTTTAAAATCATATAAATCCATGAAGATTTTTTTTCTTTTAGGAAAAGTAGAAGAATTAAAATCCAAAAGTAATCAGACATTTACATTGTAATTAAAGGTAGAGATCAGTATTTTTTATTCTGCTTAGCTAAAGTCAGACTTTAAGGCCATATTTACTCCCTGAACCAAACCGGCACTGGTTTTAGACAGCTGTACCGAAACTTAACAGGGGACATCCAGGTTCCAGAATTTTACCTGCATTTTGGCTGCCATGTCTTCTAGGGAACTTGAGTGCTTTTGTCTTTGGAAATATGCAGGCAAAAGTTTTGTTCAGGTTTTCCATCTGAATTTTTTAATTACCACTGTTTGTCTCCCCAAGAACTTGCATTTTCTTGCCTTTTCAAAGTCTCCAAGAAGTTCCTGCAGCTTCTTCAGAAGTGATCCAAAACCCCAAAGCTAAGGTTCTGCAAGCTCTCTTACTGCCTTGGGCAATACCTTTTGGGTTTTTTTCAGCTCATGTGCTTAGCCTGGACCTTAGTCCATGCCCAGTGTGTCCCACTGAGCATGCTGAGAACTGTTTGCATGAAGATCCTTTTGTGGGCATGTGTTGCAACAGGAAGAAAGCTGAGCACTCAATTACAATTCTGCCACATTTGGGAGTTTGAGGATAAAATACTCAGATGTGTTTCTTTCTTTTTAGTCAACAGAACCTACTGAACTACAGTACGAACCTGTAACTATCAGAGTGGGAACTGTTGATACATCTGCTCCTGAAAAAGAACCACCATCTGCCAATATTCCTACTGCCATCAAATATCAAGATGATAATTCTTTAGCACATCCAAATGTAAGTGTGCCGATACTTATTTCATCTTTAGAACAAGACAGCCCATTGAACAAGAGCAGCTTCGTATAACTAACAACCATTTTGCTGGGCTGCTTATCAAATAACCTGTGGTCTGAAGACTGTTAGCTAATGGGCCATTCATTGGCTTAAACAGGATCACACTCCTTGCATTATCTGACAGAGAATAACTACAAAAGAAGTTCACCAGTGGTGTAGTTTTAGAGCTACAAACAAATTTTATAATGAAGTAGCATACTAAATGAATGCAGGGGAAATTAAGATACTGTTCATATAAAAATCCCTGTTCAATAAAAATTCAGGAAAAAATGCTTTTGGTTTCTCTAGTTGGAAATCTGGTGGAAGACTCAGAACTTGTCAACCTTGCCAGATCGTAAAGCTTTAAATACATGACAAACTTCATTTTAAATCATTATGGCTAAACCTATGCAAAGTCCTTTGTAATTGGATATAGCAGTACTTATAGTAGAGGGTTTTTTAAGAATTAGTAGGTTAAGAATGACTTGCAGTAAATAAACTAATGTAAGTTCTGTATAGTAAACATTGCTAACAAAGATTAAGACCTGTACAATATGACAAACTTCCTGTTTCAGGAGAAGACTGAAATTGGAATGTCTTGGCTTTCTAATTCTTAAAAATCACTAACTTTATGAATGTATTTCTATCACCTTTGTATTTTAACACCCCTATGCAGCTGGGCTTTGCCTTTGGTCACCAAAATAGTCCGCACATATTTCAACAGAGTATAGCAAATAAAGAGAAAGTTAATGAGTTCTTCCTGCTTTTCTCCCTCTCTCCCTTGTCTGTCAGCTGTTTATCGAGAAGGCAGAAGCAGAAGAGAAGTGGTTTCAGAGGCTGATTGCCCTCCGGCAAGAACGGCTGATGGGCAGTCCAGTGGCCTGAGTGAACCACTGTGACCATCGCATACCAGCTCTCCATGAGTACTAAAAAATCCTACCATTAAATTGTTTTATTTTTCTCTTTTGAGGGGATTTTAATACTCAGTATGAGTTGTACAGAAAATAAATATTTCATCTGAAGACACAAGAATGTTCTATCCTCCATTTTTCTCCCAAATTCTTTGCTGGGTGACTTGTATCGCTGAGCTACCTGCTGTAGATGAGCAGGCTGTCAGAGCAGGGTCACTTTCTCTCTTTGTACTGAGTTCCTCTGGGATGCAAAAAACCTGACATCCAAGAAGATGTAATTTTATACCTTCCAATCAAAAAAAAAAAAATGTATAATCATGCAGCAGTTTAAAGAGAAATGCAAAAATAAGACTGTCAGAGTTCAGATTGACTAGTGCCCAACAGCAGGGGTGTGAGCGGTACAACCGTGGGCCATTGCATCTGCTGCAGCTGGAGAAGGATTCAGGGCAAATGATTTCACTGCTATCTCTTCTTCATTGCGGTGTGCATTGCGGTAGCAGCTTTTGAATCCCAAACATCTGTAGACAATCTCCTTGCTAAGGGGCTCTTCTAAATTGGTGGGTTGATCCAGATGCTCCAGCATTAGTGTGGTTCCTCACTTATGGTGGGCTTGAGAGGAAAGAAATGTTTCCTTGAACATCTACCCACAACTGCATCTGGGAAAAAAATGTTACTCTTTAAAACAAAATAGTAAGGTTTTCAACGGGTTTCAATAAATATTATTTTCTGAGCAATTTTAAGCATGTTAAATTGTTTGATAATCTAAAAGAGACAGCTTTCTATGAATTCTTAATGGGAAATAATAGAAAGATTATTGTGTGTGGTGGTACAGACCTTTGTTGACCAGACTAATGGCATACCTGTTTCTGTACAGTGACTGTTTTCAGTCTATGAAGCTTCCCTTTGTCAGAGTGTGACTTTAGAATACTGAATGATTAGTCTTACTTGAATCTATCAGACTTAGCCCAAGTATACTTACCAAAAAAATCTGTCCTTCGTTCAGCTAAAGGCTAGAGATCAACCAAATAAAATACAAAAGTATTTCCTCTGAGGTATCTAGCAAAGCTGTGAGAAAACTGTTACATCAGTAGAAGACTAAACTGAGCCCTCACCTCTGGAGATACCTCACTGGAAATGACCCACATCAGCTTTCCCATGTGAGTGAAGAAATTCATAAAGCTTTTCTATAATGTTATTTTTCCTTGTTCTCAGATCTGTGGTGAAAAAAAAAAAAAGAAAAGGATGATTCTGGAAATGTACTTTGGTTGTCTTATTTCTTTAAATCACTGATATAAAAGGAAAATGTATTAAATTTGCTTTCTAACATGTTTTTACTTTTCCTTTCTGAAAAGTGTTAGTTTGATTTGGTCCTGCATTAAAATGGCTGTGTTTCAATACTGCCTTGTCTGCAATAAAAAGTGGGGAAAAAATTGTTTCCTTTGTTTCATTCAGCATTTTCAAACAGTAAATATTTGTCATTGTTCTGTTTTCTAATCTCCTTCTGTGTTTCTTTCATAGTAAATAAAAACCATTTGATCTCCATGTAAGGTACGAGTGTAAATTCCTCTTTTTCATGCATAATGTTAGATAATTTTGATATTGCTATTGTATGCAAAATTATTCCTTTTATGTAATTCGCAACACTACACGATATTACAAAAATCTAAAAATTGGTCTGTATAAGTAAGTAAGACTTAGTGGTAATAATAGGGATGTACCTACTAGTGCTTATAAATCAACATCTAAATTTGTCTAGCAAATCCATGCTGGAGGAGAATTGTGAGCAATATCTGGAAAGAAAATGGAAATAGCATTTGAATAATCTGAACTGAATACAAGTATGTACTGAAACATGCCAAACTATTTGAAACACAGAGCAGATCATTATAAAGTTGATTTTTATAGTTCCAGTTGCAGATTAGTGATCAGAAGAACTGATAAATAATTACTTAGAACTCTGTGGTTTTCATTAAATATGTAACTTGTTTATTGGCCTTGTGACTGTGTTCGTTTAAGAAGAGGCTTTTTTTTCTGCTTTAGGCCCTATATTCTGTCACCCTGTCTCCATTCCTACTTTGAACATTTGTTATGCATACTTGAAGTTCATGAAGTTACTGGTGTTGGGAGATAAAGGAGTTGTCAGGATGGTGTTTCCTAGATACTGTCTGTTATGAATCAGAAAATGTACTGTCCTTCTTACAACCTTCAAGCTCATGCAGTACAGATCTCTAAAGATGCCTAAAGCAAGTCAATGATGCTCAAGTGTGTGTCCTGGAGGTGAGGGGTCATGTAGAGCTGACTCACAACCTCAGCAATACTACGTGTTGTGTCTTGCAGGTAAGTTTTAATTTTACTGTGGATATCTCCTTGGGTATGGCTAAGCTGAATATTCAAAACACTGATCATCGAGATGCAGGTGGCCCTTTGCCAAATTCACTTGCAGGGAGGCTCAGTGCTTTCCAAAGCTGAGCCCTCTCTAAGGGGGCTCTCCCTTGCTGAGAATTTGCCATTGCCGATTCCACAGCTTAAACCTTCAGCAAAAATCAACACTGTCCCCCTGCATTTGCTCCTGTGGAGTAAAAGGAAGGTTGCATAAGGCCAGTCATAGGGTTGTAAGTGTAAATGTGTAGAATGGCACACTCTTGATTTGAGTTGTGTGAACTATTTTGCTTTTACTTGAATAGCATCCTGTAATAAATTATTCATTTTCCTGTCAAAGGCAGGGAGATATTTGAGTATCAGAAATGAAATATGGAAGGCAGCAATATCGGAAATAAACTTCACTCTGTAACCAGCGATGCACAACTAAGGAGAATTTTGACAAACTTATTGCTTAAAATTATTTTACAAGTCTTGGACACATTTATAAGTGGATTGAATCCAAATACATGTGCACCCCACTGTTCCATGTGTGGGGCCTTTTTGCATGAGTTAAAACTAGCGTGTGTTACCTAATCAGTCAGGTACAAATTTAATTAACTGTGTCGTAACATCTACATGAAACTCGTGTCAATGCGTGCAAATTAATCACCACTAACCTGGAAAAATGCACTGCTGACTCACAACCCATGCTTCTCCTGATCCAAAAAAGGGTGACACCTTTCTACAAGAATCCTACTTGCTTAGTTTCTTTGCTTCTAAGGTCTTCCGATGTTCTCACATTTAGCATTTAGGACTCTTGCCTATGGAATTTTGCTTGCTTGTTTGTTTTTCCACTTTGCTCCATGCTCCTGGTGAAAGGGAATGTATTCCTGATTAAGAAAGGGAAAGAAACAGCTGTTTGTTAGTTATCCCATTAAACATACAACTTGTAGCTGTGTTTTGCAGGCTGTAGAGACAGCAGTGACATGGTTTTGTCATTCAGGACTCATAATGGGGTGTCTCTGATACAATCAGCTCTGATACAAAGTTCCTTCTAATGCCAAACTACCTTAAGTCTGACTTGGATGAATGGTGTGTAGGAGTGAAAAGATAATGCTGTAACTTGAGCCATTCAGACTGCTGGTAGTCAGCAAAGACCTCTACCCTTAGAAATTACATTAGCAAACTCATTTCACTTAGCCTGCTGCACAGCCACAGTCAATTAAAATCAAACCAGGCTGATTTTTGATTTGATACCTTTAAGGTAAAATGTTCACTAGCCCTTTCTGATTTCTTGAGTTATCTAGCATCTCCATAACTATTTTTTATGATGATAATTGCTTGAAAAGGGGCTGTATTTAGTTTTTATTATTATTGTTACAATATTTTAGAAAGATTTTTGCTACTAAAATAATGATATCCAAGAAAACATTGCCAGCCAGGAGATCAAATTTTGCTACTTCTGCTTCAGTCGCTCTGCTATGAGCAGGACTGGATGATCCCAGAGGCCATTCTTCCATCAGTAACCCAAAACCAACTTCCTTGATGATTGCAGATGATTACAGTTTTCCATTTGTCGAGTTACAAGAAGGAAGTTATTTTTAGTGGAGATCCTTGAACTCTAGAAACCTGTTTCAGGAGAGATCAGTTTGAACCTATGACTTAATCCACATATGACACAGGGCTATGGTGGCTTTTCAGCTGGCAGCAGTAATAAAAGCAATGCGAGGATTATTATTACTCCAGAATTTAAAATATTCACCATTTGTGATTTTGACTTGGCACAGCATTGCCTAATTTCTTTTCTGCTGGCTGCTCTCTCCCCTCCTTGTCTCCCTTCTTTGCTAAGACCTAGGAAAAAAGAGTAGCAGTGGCTGGGCCAGATTAGGTGACGCTGAGGAGCAAGACTTAGACACTGAGTCACTCTGGAGTTGCCACTCCGGGGTGAGATGTGACATGATACGTCTACTCTTTCTGGAAGGAAGCAGAAGCTGAAGCTCAGCCCAGAAAGTGGAGGAGGGAGCTCAGTGCTAACACCAGCGCTGAGCTGCGCTTTGCCTCCAGCTGGGCTCCCTGCCCAAGGTGTGGACATTGTGAGCTGGAAATGGTGGTCATGCCATGATTTAAAGCCAGGCGAAGATCAAAATCACATCTTGGCTATCATTTTGCCCCTTCAGAAATGGAATATAGACTGGGGCTGCGTGGTTGTATGGATGGTAATGATAGGAGAAGCCTTCTGGCCCTTGGGCATCAGTTTTGAACACGCTATAATGTAAAGGCTGCGGTTTGAAAGGTGGCGTCTCTGCTGAGCTGTCACAGTAAAAATCTCATTCCCACTAGATGTCTCTGCTGTTCCAGAGCAGTTGCTCTGAACCTTGGTGCTGCCTAGAAAGGCCATATAAATGAGAAGCATGTAAACCAAATTTACCTTTTTACTTCCTAAACAGAGCTGGAGTCAGGGTAATCAGATAAGGCAGTTTGCCTTATAGTTTTCTGTTGCCTTAATTCTACATCTTCCGGAATGAAAAATTTTTACTCCAAAAGGTGATCTCCAAATATTTACTATGTGGCACAGTCCCTGGGGAACTTTATAGGAGGGAAAAGTGGATCCTTCCCTGCCTTGTCAGCAAAATTGGCTGCCCAAGGGCACCTGCCCCTCACTCACCAGCACAGCGGTTTCTGGAGATGAGGGGGCGAGGGGAATAGAAGGGTGTCCAGTGTTCCTCTGGACACTGCAGGTGTCCACATCCCTGG